ATATTCTGAACTCCTTCTCCGTTATTTCTTCTGTTGTGCTGGCCATGGATTCTAATAATGTGGTATCTTGGTTTGTTTGGGGCACTTTCTTCCCTTGTTTTTTCATGTTGTTCATGTGTCTTCCTTGCAGATCCACTTCATTACTGTTATTACCCTATAGGCATATAGTGTCCCTGCAGGGTTCCAATCCCTGTCCTTTAAGGGGGAGAACAATATTATCAGGTTCTAATACAAACAATATGTAGCCTTAAACCAAATAGCTGCTATTAAGACATTTACGGTTTTGTCACAATATATAGAAATGGAGAGTTCAATTATTATCTACAATATAAACAGTAGGTTTGCAAAAGGGTCTACAGTTTCTGATGGTGGAAAAAGAACTGGGAGTGATGTGTAGGATGTGCTGTTGAGGGGGCAGGAGGTGAGGATACAGAGTTGTTAGATCTTAGGAAGTATGAAAGTGGAATCTAAAGATGTTGGTTAGTACTAGGAGAAAAGAGTGATTTTGAGGAGACAAGTGAGAAGACAATAAAGTACAGAAAACAAATACAAAAATTAAGAAAAATAAAATATGTAAAAATAGGAGATAAAAGAATGTACAGCACAACCATAATATACTATTCATTCCTCAGTAGCCTAATTCATGAAAAGTACTTGGTTTCACAAATGTCGGGGATGTGAAGGTGGGAGAAGAGAAAGAGGGAAAAAAAAGTCCTCCAAGGAAGATACAAGTTTGTTTTTGTTGGAGATCAGTCTTTCCTGCTTCCCTTCTCATCCAATAGGTGGGGTTGTTTGTTGTTTGCTGGTATCTCCACCCTCAGGTGAAGGTCAGCATTAGGGTGGGAGGTTTGGTCTAGGCAGCTGTGCTCCTGAAGGTGGGATATAGCACTTGCCAGTCCCCAATGGGAGACTGCACCCCAAGGATCTCCTTTGGGGCCCGCTTGTGTGATGTGGGCACCTGGTCTTATCTCCTTATATCACCTGTAGATCTCATAATTCCTGGTCTCTAATTCAGTCTCTAAACAGTATCTCACTCACCTCCTCCCCTTCTATTTCCCAATCAATCAGGAACCTTTCTCACTGGTGGTCTTGTGGGCTACGTGCTGGGGGCTGCACACCTGTCGCAGAGAGCTGTTTTGTATTGGGCAGTTCAAGACCAGGTTTTGTGAGCTATAGACAGCGATGTAGCTGCAAGCACTGTGCTAGGTTAGCTGCTGCCAGGAGGAGGAGGAAGTTGTGGACTATAGGTACCTTGATTTTGCTTTTAATCCCCTGCCAGTGTCCCAAGCTGGGAGTTGCCCCAATTAAAGATGTTGACAAAGGTGTCCCAAGATGAAAGCAGCTGCTTTCAGTGATAAGGTGTTGGGTTGGGTGGGGCCTGGCAGTGGTGTTAGGCTGCATGTTCAGAGATGCAGCTTTGTGGCGTTCAGTGTTGGCGGCTGTCTCCAGACCCTGTTCGGTGTTCCCAGGTACAAGCTACCGCATGTAAGGGGACTATGGAAGTGGTTGCAGTGTCCCAAGACAGAGGCGATGGGGGAGCCCCATGTTGGTAGATGGGGGTCCACACGAGAGTCGCAGCTGGAGGTTCTGTGCGTGGGCAGTGGCTGGGTGTCCTGTGTGGGAGCAGCAGCTAGGATTCCTGCAAGGTTGGGCAGCCAGGAATCCTGCATGGCTCTTATCTACAAAGTCCAAAACAGACTTTGTCTTATAAGTGGTTAAGTGACAAGAAATAATTAAGATAGGAGGTTGCATAAGTTCATAAGATATATCAGCTTACATATGGGAAAAATTTTATAACAGCTCAGTAAATTATCTTTTCTTATTAATAAAATTCCACTTGCCATACTTTTAATTTTTCAATACACCTTTCATTATATTGCTTCTTTGAAGTATGGATCTTCTGATTGGAAAAACCAATCATATGTATGTCTAAAATATGGATTCAAACACCACACATTTAGTTTCCACAAAAATATATTTAATAAACTTGTTATATAAAATCAAACACTTAACATTTTATCAATAACTCAAACTGATATCTAACTAGGAGTGCTTGTGTTTTGGAAGACTATCTAAACTAAAAATATATTTACATATTTACAATACAGGTATCTAAAGAGCTATGAAATTCACAGAATTCTAGAGATTTACAGGCTAGAAGTATCATAAATTTGTCTATAATCAAATTATTGTGCTAATTATGAACAATGTCTTAACTATTAAACCAGGAGGAAAATGGGAGGGAAATATATAAAGTTTTGTAACAAACACTTAGAAGATAAAAAAGGTAATATAAAATTGGTTTAATGACTAAGATTTCTTATTGAATCCCTGATTGTCATTTTTGGCAGCTTAACCCAGTCTGTCAGAAGGCAGTGCACTATGCCGTCTGGAACCTTGCACTGTCTCATCAGAGCCATGCTAAATCCAATTAAGAGCTCTGGCTGAAACCAAGTAGCAACTTTTGAGGGATGCACATACCTTCCCCACATAGGCTAAGGCTTCTTGCTTAAATTTATTCCTGAAAAGATTTTTCTCAACATGCTTCAAAAGAGTTCCTTACATTTAGCTGTGTGTGTGTGGGGGGGGGGTGCCATATACAGAATTTATCACAATAAAGATTCCAAATCTTATTTTATATTTTGAACTATACCATGGTAAAATTTAAATCATCCAACTCAGACAACATTCCACACTAAAGCAATAAACATCTTTTTAAAATACTGCATAGTTTCTCTTTCTTAAAGAAAGATACTGCTGCTATAAGGAGTTACCAAGTGATCATATCCTTTTAAATATCCAATGGTAACAACATTTTTTTCTGCATATTTCTCCATCAAGATTATTCAAAGCAATTTCCTAATATGCAATATTTGAAAGCATATCATGTTGACTCTTAAAATAATAAATTCATTTCTTTTGTTCAATAAAAGAAAATTTCTAATAACAAAATATATGTAAAATTAGAACTTCCCAAAAGTAAGCTGCCTTTATTAACCAAAGTACTTGTCTGCAGTTTTTTCAACTGTGAAAATATTTTAAAGCCCTTATAAAAATTAAATTTTATTCTTAAAAGGTTAACTTAAAAATTCTTGCCATGTTGCTGGGCATACCACTGCTGTCTCTGCTTGCGGTTTTCAAGCTCAGTGAGAAGAGCCTGTCTATAAGCTTCATACATTTTAACAATCTGTTCCAGTTCTTTCATGAAGAGCAACTTTAGCATTCCCTGGTATGTATCCAGGTCAGCCAGCTGGAAGAGTTCCCATTTCAGAATGTGGTCATATCTGTTTTAAAACATAATATTCACAACACATGCATAAACATGTATTTATTGCAATAAACTAGTCTTTTATAAACATTAACTACATTATAACTAAACAAACCATAAACTTTATAAAGATAAATGAGTTATCAACTTCCTATTTAAAAACAATATTTTTTTTTCTTTCTTTTTGAGTCAGGTTTCCAACAAGTTGCCCAGGTTGGTCTTGAACTCTTGAGCTCTAGTAATCCTCTTGCTTCAGTATCCAGAGTAGCTGGGACTACAGGTGCATGCACCACACCCAGCTCTAAATAAACTATTTTTTAGGAAAGGGAGAAAACTAGATATTTCACTTCAAGTTAAAGAATGCTCATTTAAGTATCCATTATTCTAATACTAATATTAAACCATGAACGTCAATTTCAAATAGATAGCTATGTAATTTTTCTCTGAAAAATGCATTCTGTGGTATTTGTAAGTTTATTCAGAGTTAACTGTCAGCAACTTAAGGATATTTCAGACCACACTGTGCTTGCAAATGATAATGCACAAAAAGGGGCAAAGTCATGTTTGTTACTAATGTTAATAGATCTAGTAGAGGAATTATGTTCACAACAGCATACAAGGAACAAACACAGGAGGAATGAAGAGAAACCATCATTAGCTAAGAATTCCTGAGGAATTCAATGCAAAACCTACTATTGAAAAACTCAAGAAAGAATAAACAGTTTTCAAAAATGAGAAAACAAGTAGAAGGTAGAAGACTCCACAATATGGTAAAGAACTCTTGAAAAATTTATTTACATGTATCTTTAGCTCTTTTTCAATATAGGTGAATCATATGCTGAGATTGAACTATGCAACCAATTACTATACTTTGAGATCCAGAGACAACACTCTAATTAAATGTTCTCATTTTAAAGATGAAAAAACAAACAAACCTAAAAAGGCTTTTTATCTTTAGCAAAAGTATTTAATGTCCAAAAAAGTTGAGAAAAGCAGACAACTACGAACCAAAAAGCTTTAGAGTAGTAGTTTTAAATGTTAATATCCTTTAAGACTAGACAAAGAACATAAACTAAAGCAAGTCACATAATATCATATTGGTACATGATATTAAAGTTATTTTTCTCAAACTGTTGTAGCA